AGGAGCTTATCCCTAAACACCGCTCATCCTCGGATGATCACCCCAATCATACTCGATTAACCAACGCCAGCATATACAACATGAACGATGAGCCTGAGCGGATAGGTGTGTTGCTAAGGGCTGACACAATACGATACATGCAGAAGCCTCTAGATACAGCAGAGGCTGATGAAAGCCCCTCACCATCGGAGGAAGGCATGATGGTTAGCAGTAGAGTATCACAAGTCGTCGATAGACTAGTATCTCAACTCAGAGAGGCTCAGCAAAGTCGTCTACGTGTTGAGGTGGGTACTTGCTCACCGACAGGCAAGACACAGCATGGTATCTCCCTAGTCCTTGCTTGAGGAGTATGAGAATGAACTCGAGTTGCGACGGGCTGAGGCAGCTAGACCCTACTTCGCTGAGGTTAGCAATGCAATCATGATAGCCCTGATGTAGCCTGAAGATCTTAGATTCTTCGGTGTCGTTGGCCATTTAGTGGGTCCACATTGGCAGCATCGACCGGCAACCGCCATACCACACATGCTTCCGAGTTACGGAATCTCATGAACCTGAGGGATCTCGAAGTGGGAATGGTTCGGGACAGACCGAGTGGCCGACTCAGTGCGAGTTCGAGTCGAAGCGAGGAAAGCGGATGAAACCCCCTCCATGTGCTCTTTGTTGTTGTTATTGCGCATCCCCTCACCCCTTTCAGACGTCTTTAAAAAATTAACCCCCGTTCTGGTCATTGAGTTCGGTGTGCATATCAACTCAGTCGGCATGAGCAGCAAACCGCTCATTGTGAGTGCGATGTTCCATTCACGGCAGCAGCTACCGGGACTCCTGTGCCGCCGCTCCTGCCTCCTTTCCGTTCGGGGATTCACTGTTGCCCAGACAGCTCCCCTCCCTCCCCGACCAGTGAACTTCGAGGAGCCTCCTCTCTGGCAGCTTAGACAACCTCTCGTACCCCAGGATGAATGGGTGGATCTCGAGTAGGTCGATAGGTTGTTGAGATGCGCCCACCTTGTGACTTCAGATTCGAGCGTATGGGGCTCCAAGAGCCTCCTCCCGGTGCAGGGCAAGCTCTATCTTCACCATGGGGAGGGGATGCTGCACCCACCCCTGTGCATCCCATGTGGCCTAACCCTTCCCTCGAGATGGCTAGGGCAGAGCCGTTCACGCCTCTCGGCTCATCGACCGCTATCACCACTGAGGCGTCGCCATTGGTGAAGGCTCAGATTGGCAGGAATAGGTGGGAATCAGCAATCGGCACCTCCCTCTGCAACAGTCTTGCTCTCGATTCAGAGCTAGACTCGATGCATTGTGGAAACTCTCATCATCTCATGGTATATCGTGGGATGAGCTGGACGACCATTTTGTCCAATGGCATGCTGAGGTGAGACACTTGATGATGGATATTCTGGACTGTGTTCGTCAAGTACACTCACCGGACAGAACAGTTCAAAGAGAATGTAGACAAGTTCCGCATGGACGCCAGAGATGCAGCCTTGCCTTATATGGCAGCACAGAAGCTCAAGTTCCACGTTCGAAGAGTGAGCGGATGCCCAAGGCGTGGACATCGATGGTCATACCTCTTTCTGTAGGGAGGATCGTGGACTGATGGTCTACCACCGTTCGCACCCAAGAGGATTAGACGACAGGGAGAGAAGTTCCTCCATAGATGGCGTAAACGATACATAGTCGCACACTTCCAGTCCGGCAATCTTACAGAATATCTCAAAAACAAGGTGCTGCAGAAATGTGTTACGGGGTTCGTCTTGGTGTGGAAGGCATCATTAGGTTACTCTGCACTTGATTCGCCGAGAGGTATCCGAAAGGTGTCAAGGCTTGGAGAAGGCAGCTCGTCTAGCGGCTCGACAAGAGGGGAAGCGATCGAGTAGACGTGCGAGTGGAATTTCAGCTTAGAGTCATGAGAACGACCAAGCATCCTCACGGATCACAGACTTATCACGATTGACATGTTTCCGATATGCTAACAATGTCTAGTTACCCAGAGAGTTGGATTCGCCTGACTTGATGTTGTCACGCTCCAGACTATCGGTACGGGCAGCAGAAATGTTCATTACTGCAGCCGATTGACAAATGCTTTCAAGTAGTACGTCACGTTCACCATCCCCGTTCTGCGAAGTCTGTGAATATGTAAGGCCACCTTTCACTTAGCTCTATCAAAACCCATGATTCAGGGTGCCCTCACACGGCAAGAGTTATGGGAAAGATTGATTAATGTGGAGAGACAGAGAGATTGCCTCAGACAGCTATTCAGGTGAGGCCATATCAGCTCCGGGTGTTCGGCAATAAGACTCCCTGTGCCCAGACTAGAACGAGAGATACCCTGTTGTGAAATCCATCACCATGAAATGGAGGCGATACAGAAGGAACTACAACAAGCTCGTGTAGCACATCTTATGAGCTGACTCTTATTTTAAAACTGTTCCCTTAGACACGCATAGCTC